CGTTTCCACTAAGCGCGTCACGCGTCACGTCGTCCATTGCGTCACGACGTCATGAAAGAGAGAAAGAGATAAGATGGCTGGCACCCAGTTGGACACGGCTCAATTGGACACGAGTCACTCACAGCGCTTGAGACTACAAAGCTCCTAAGCACCGGTCGTTGTGATTGGTGGTGTCCAATCGAGCCGTGATCAATCGGGATCACCCCGATAAGATTATATAACTACACAACTCCTCTCTTTCTCTCCTTCGACGACGCGACGCGCTCAGTGGAAACTCAGCCTAATGATCCTGATGTGGTGCAGTGGATGTTATACTAAAATCGAAAAAAAGTAAAAAATTTTTTTAACTTTTTTTTTATTTTAGTATAAAATCCACTGTACCATGTCAGGATTTTGAGTTTACTTTAATCCTGTAAAAGGATTTTTTATTCCATTTAGTCAATTCGGAGATTTTGATCAAATTGCAATGTCGATAATTGGGTCCCTCCAGCATCCCCTTAAGGGATGCTTACTTATTATATATCGTTGTGTCTCACTCAAACGCATTCATTTGTCCTTATCTTGCAACGCCATCTCTTAGAAAGAGATCAACTAAAATACTGCTCGGTTTCATGGCTAAACAGTCATACAACGTCGATTTCTCACGCGCTAGACACACAATTTCGTTCCTTGCGCTAATTTTTTTATTTAGGCGTCAAAACTTAATTCTAAAGATACGACTGTAATCGTCTATTTATTCTACATGTGCTCCTGCCCTAATTTCGAGCATATAACGTGCCTATAATTTTTTCACGAAGTAAATGTTTGGTGAGCTGATAGCACATGGATACAAGAATCTGTAATTTATTATTTTTCCCAGTTATGGACACAAATACACCAGGAGCAGGTACATTAGCACGGATATTTCAATCGTGGAGAAGGAATTTTTATTCCCCACGATTGAAATATCTGTGCTAATGTACCTGCTCCTGGTGTATTTGTGTCCATAACTGGGAAAAATAATAAATTACAGATTCTTGTATCCATGTGCTATCAGCTCACCAAACATTTACTTCGTGAAAAAATTATATGCACGTTATATGCTCGAAATTAGGGCAGGAGCACATGTAGAATAAATAGACGATTACAGTCGTATCTTTAGAATTAAGTTTTGACGCCTAAATAAAAAGATTAGCGCAAGGAATGAAATTGTGTGTCTAGCGCATGAGAAATCGACGATGTATGACTGTTTAGCATCGACATCTAGAATGGACCGCTGATGGCAATGGTGGGGGTAGAAAGACGATTAGAGTGAGA